CAGCAGGTGGCCTTTGAGCGCATGAAGGAGCGCCATCGCCGTCAGTACCCCGGTCAGCAGCAGCCCATCAGCACGCACAATAGCGTGGCTCGCTGGCAAAAGGAGTCGGCTAATGCAGTTGCACCACCACCCCAGCAGCAGCAGGCGATGTACGCAAGTAACGGAGCGATCAACCGTGGATACTCTCAGGCCATGTCCCCGCACCAACCGCATGTGGGCCCTCATGGCAACATTAGTGGTAGCGCATCCATGTCCAACATTGCGTACATGGCCGAATCGCATAATGCCGGCCTTGCTTCTTCTCAGTTTGCTACTTTGCCCAGGCCTAAGAATCAAGGGTATCCTTTGGCCGTGGATACTTTTACTGCCAGAGCCGGCCAGACAGCGCGGCAGCATAGTGCCGAGCACCACTCTGCGCCATTTCCCGGGTTCATTCCAGCCAACGGCTACCAAATGCAGCAACAATTGCAGCAATTGCAGCCGTTGCAGCTGCAGGCGCCAGTGCCGTCGGCTCACCCGGTTAAGCTGGCAAGTATGCCGCAAAAGGCCAAGAACCCGTACTTGAGCGACAGCAGCAACGATGACAACGATGGCGACAGCACCACTGATGAGGCTGACAGCGACGACATGACTAGCATTGGCAGCTCGGATATCTCTTGCGACCCGCCGCATCCGCAGCGCGAAGTCGGTACTGCACCACTGGGCATTAACGGTGGCAGTGTTCGGACTCCGCGCAGCGTCTCGCAGCCGATCATGCCGGCTGGTGGTAGCGACTCGTCCAGCGACACGTCAGCTAAAAGCCAGTCTTCGTCAACCCGTCGAGTTCGGTTCCATGAAACTGTGTCGGTGGTTTTCAATACTCGGCATACAGTATCTGGCGAAGATTTGGAAGAGCAAGATGCGCACGAGTCGGACAACGACAGCAGCAATGCTTCAGTCGACCTGGACGCCACCAGCTCCAGCGGCGCCAATAGCGGCTTGAGCTTGGCCGGCGGGTCTTCTGACGAGGCCTTTGATGGCAACAATGCCTATAGCCACTCGAGGTATCAGATTCCACCGACGCTCATCCAGACCCAAAGCGATCCAGTCCAGTGGTACGACGAAGAGTCGACAACTGTGGTTAACAGCAAAGACACTAGCGGCTATTCGAGCCGGAACATCTCTCCTGACGGCGCCAAACGGCAAAACCAGCGTCCCAAGCACCGTATCGAGACCCAGCCTTTGCGCGATCGCGAGGCAGAGCGCGAGCTGCGGAAGCAGGCCCAAGGCAGCAAACAGCGCCCGCGCCCAACGCCACCCAAGCAAACCCTAGTCCAAGTTACCCCTCCAGCTCCTAATGACTCTCGGCTGCCTTTAGCACCACCCGTTTTGGCTCTATCAGTAGCCCCAGCCCCAGTTCCAGTTCCAGCTCCAGCTCCAATCACTGAACCCGAATCTAATAGTCAAAAGCCGTCTGTGGACCGTATGGCCGAGGCTCGGCGCGCGCTCTTGGGGCATTACAATGTTCCTAACCCCGAATTGCCGGTTGGAAATAGCATTCCACGGAGCGGCACTGCAACTACCACAACGTTCACCCGGACGTCAAGTGTCAAAGTCCTTCAGCCACCCTCGTTTGCTCGGCCCAAGCAACGGCCAGCCGCTAGCAACCCGCAGCTAAACATAAGATCGGTGTCGGAACATAAACCAGCAGAGAGGAAGCCCCAATCGGAGAACACGGCACATACAACTCAGCCGCAGTACCAGGCCTCGGCTACAACTAAGGATAGCGGCGGCACCAAAGCCAATAATGCCTTGCGGAACTTTTCGCTATCTGCAATCGACACCTCTGCCAAGGCCAAGCTTGGTGAAGATGACAACAGCGACGGCGATGACGTACCCCTGTCTGCCTTTGCGCGCTCTAGATCCGAGCCCATGTCTAACCTTCCGCGCCGCTCAACTGACGACTACCTATCTCGCCAGGTAATTGCTAGCAACAACTACGACTCTGACAGCAACGCTGTCGATACTGATAAAGGCGCAACTAAAAGTGCCAACCCTCGTCGCTTCTTTGGTCGAAACCAAGCCGATATTGCTGGTAACCCCATCGCACGTAGTAACACGCAATTGTCTGTCTCTGTGCCCAAGGTTGGAGAGCATGTAGCAGCATTTGAGCAGATGCGCTCGCTATCTATGGACGTGGCTCCACGTCAATCGGCCGAAAAGCGGCGGTTTAGCCGCTGGGGAAACTTTTTCTAAACAACTGCCACTAATTTTCCAATTAATAATAATTCCTTGCAACTTCCTTAATGTGCCTGTCCTTGGAAGCTGCGCGAGAGTAAACTGACAATGTTGTTATCAATTTTACGGTCAACAAATGAAAAGGCTAATGTGGAAAAGGAGAGTGGATTAAACGGATTCAAAGCTGAACAGACAAGCTATCAGAAGCCTCTTTAAGACACTTCACCATATGTTTATCCGCCTTTTCCTCTATCACGTATGGCAAGAGCTTGACAAGGAGTTGGAGCTTGCACTTGTTGATTCCCAAAAAGAAGCAACTTAGGTGTGTGTTCTCCCAAAGCATCAGCTTGGCCATTGAGCCATTCGAGTCAAAGCTTCCACCCACAGCCCCATTTGCAAGGTGTTTATCTGTGTATACCTTGCGACATCTAGCCGCCATGCCCAGTGTTTTCTTTACATTGCCTTTTTCGACGGCAGACTGGCACAGCTCGCGGAGCCAGCCCCAAAAAGCTTGGCTTGGATCAAATTCGCCCATCTTGCAAATTCCGCTGCTTGTAGCAACGTCTGGAACACGCACAGGGTCCTAGCACAAGAAAACGTGTGGTTTTGCTTAAGCACAATAATCCGGGTCAGGAAATGATGCTAACTCAAATCCCTATGACCCAGCATTGGGCAAACCTATCAGTGGATCAGAATTAGTTTGTGTACACTATCTGTTGGATAGTACTATGTGGGCTTAGACTAGATCATATATATAATAAATATCTTCAAAATACGAGCTAAAATAACTGAAGAGATCTCACACCACTAATGCCCCGTAGCGCCATATTTAAACAGCACCGCCATAGCCGCTTGTAATCATAATCGCAAGATTCTGATCATGGACTCGTAATCGCGATCTGGCCAACTATACTCGCTGCTATCCAACACAATAGGTACATTTACTTTATTGAAGAAATGCTTAAACATGAGTTAAAGAGTGATAGTACCAACTGGGACGTAGCTCAACAATGAGTTTGCTACGCTAATATTTACCAAGCTGCTCACCTCAAGTGGCTTAGTAAGCACAACAAAGTGCACTTGTTACTTGCATTGAACAAGTGTGTAGTGTGATGCTAGCTTAAGGTATAACCAGGTGTTGTTTGAAAAAGACCTATTTAGCTAGCATATCCATTTATTGAAGTGAAATAATATAGGTGGTCTGCTTGCTGGTCTGCTTGCTTCCGAATAGGAGTTGACTGGCAACATTCCTTACTTCTTGCTAATGGAAATAGTAAAAAGGTATTCCAATTTGTCACCCTCGGTGCCTGGGTAGTCAATCTCAAGATTCACTGTTACTTGTTCAAGGAAATCAGGATCGTAATTAATACCTAGTGCATAGGGATCCATAGTCACCTCAATGCTTGTGACAAGGTCTGGTACCAGTTTGTCAAGAATTGGCTTCAATTTTTCAGCTGCCTCTTCTAATGTAGGATACGAGAGAGAGAGGTGAGGTACAATAAGCTCGCCCATTTTTAAGCTTTTTAATACTAGACACAGATGTGTGCTATAAAAAATGGAATGGAAGTGTAGGTGTTGGATGGAGAGAAGAAAAGCAAGGGCAGAGAAAACCCTCGCAGTCAAAGATCCTCCAGCCAAAAGTGAGAAAACACTTCCCATCCCCAACAAACTAGTTCTTTGCGGAAAAGGGCGAGCAACGCAAAAAGCCTTAGCCCATGGCAGATTATGATGTCAGCTCCAAGCACGTTGCTAAAGAAGCCAATCGCGCAAGCTTGCTCATGGTAGCCTTCTTCGCCTTTAGCAAAAGTCTTCACCCATGTGGCATAAGTGCTTAGTAAAAAGAAAGTAAAAGCAGGCTTTTGGTTGTTGATACCAAAGAAAACGAGGGCTTGGGAGTGCCTCTTCCGATTGCAGGCTGCACAAGGAAACCCCAATCTTTTTAGCTTGCAAACGCCTGCCACGGGCTCAAATCTCAGTGAAGCTATTGCAAAACGACCGCATTTGTTGTGGCAGTAGGGTTTTAAGCCTGTAATTCCCCTGGTACTTTTATTCCGCATTGTGCTGTGCCCTTTGATTTCTATTGCTTGGTTATATGACCAGCTGAGTTGTGGACTCTGGGCGTAGTGATATATTTATCAACAAAGAAACAACACACTTCCTTGCCTTGAGCATTGTTATCGTTCCATAGAAGCTAGCGCTATGTAACAGTACTTTAATAACCAGAATGAGGAAGAAGGATTTCTATTTTCTTAACCAAAAACTAAGGTTTAAATATTACCAAGGGCCAGACTGCTGATAACGAAATCAGTCCGAGTGGCATATGAAAGGCACTTACCGCCTAGCCAATCACACGTAGAGGCCTGACACGTCCAGCATACAGACTGTAATTTATACAGTAACCAGCTCAAGAATTTGGTGGGGGAAACTATTTTCCAATTACGCTGCAAAATTAGACGATTGATGTTTGTCTCTAATGCAGCAACAACATACGCTTTCCTTTTCAGAAAATGAGCCACAAAGATAAGATCGACAAAAACAATACTTGGAAGTGCTTACAGGGACTTTGAGATTGAAAAATCCAGTAGCATGTTGTTTCTATACTTGGATTTGGTAGGTACAGAGCGTGTGTTTATGAAACCTGATGATTACACAAAACCGGCAGTCTAGACGAATGAATAATAAGAAAAAAATGAATAATAATTTGAAGGGGCTCTACCGGACTTTTTTGTAGACAAAAATGCCTCGACAGCTAACAAATAGTCATGTCGCGGCAAAAATAAAAATGATCAGAGTGGGACTCGAACCCACGCCTCCGAAGAGACTAGTACCTGAAACTAGCGCCTTAGACCACTCGGCCATCTGACCATCTGTTCTGAACTAAGCAGCAGACCTTTTCATGATAAGCGGAAAAAATCGTTGATTATAACCAAAGTAGTATCTAATTTAGCTAATAATGGGCCGGCGATGTATCATCTCTCCGCACCGAATAGGCATGCTGTGTGGGCGTATGCTCGCGTGGGCAGTTTGCCTCTTGAGGCATACTCTCCGCGGCAGGGTCGCCTGGCAGCGGTTTCTTCAGAGGTCGCGCCGGTGAGACTGGATAAGTGGGAACGAGGCCAAAGACATAATCAAGGAGTGAGAGACGAAGCGCAGACCAAGAGGGTTTCCAAGGCACGCTGGTCTCGGCTGCCAAAGATCCCCCTTGAGACCAAGCACATCTCGCTATTATGGCTCATGGCACACGCAGCGGTTCCGACCGCAGCTCAGCTCTCGCACTATATTCCCGATTTAGAACCCGCCTGCAAGTTCTGCAGCACTGCCATCCAGACCAGCGATGCAAACGACGACCCTGGGACCCTGGAGAGCGAGAATATCGCACACTATTTCTGGGCCTGTCCTCGCATCCGCAACTTTTGGCAGCGGGTTTCGAGATTCCTGCAGGATATTCGGACTGAAACGGCTGGGCCGGTCTTTCAGGTCGACCTGCGCATGGTTGCCACAGGATTTGGAGCCTGGAGCAAAAGACTGCCCAATGTCGACGCTCTCCATGGGCTGGCGGTGTGGGAGATTTATCGCGCTCGCGCAGAATTATCCCTTGAAGGCACTACTCACTCTGGCGAAGCCATGTTTATCCGCTGGAAACTGTCGCTCATGCAACGGATCAATCAAGACTTTATTTACGCTTTTACGCAACTCAAGGCTGCTCACTCGTTCCACAATCGCTGGTTAATGGTGTCAAACCGGTGGTATCACTTCGATCCAGGCGAAAACGAGCTCAGCGGGAAGTTATCTTTCCAACCCTCACTACACACACTGGATAGCAGCCACAACATCGATTCAAACGACATATTCTCCTCCCAGAGCGTAGACACCTCAAGCGCATCTTCAACTCTAACCTCCAATGTCTTGTCTTCACAAACTCCGGATACGCCGAGAGACGATTGATTATTCACTTAGGTAATTTATTGTTTTCCTTAGCGTTATCGATAGTATAGCACCTTTGTTGTGCCAAAAAAGGCCGGCGATGTATTTTTCAGGGCGCAGACACCTCAAGCGCCCCTCCAACTCCGTTTTTTAAGGTCTCACCAGTTCTGCCGCTTATCAATTCAACAGCCAAAGCCAGAATATGCATATTCCCCAAGCCTTCTTCGACCCTGGTTAGCTGCCCACCTCTGGTTGCTGAGTTGAGTGCTGCATTTATTCATTTCAGAAAAAAATTAGTCCAAAAGAAAATAGCTGTCAAAAAGTGAAATAAGCAAAATAGGGAAAGGGCAAGTGAAATAGCAATACTGACTTTTTTATTTTAGTATAAATGTCTCATACATATATCATTATAAGAAAAAGACTAAGCTTTGACAATACTCCGACCAAAGTTCTTGCCCGTAAACAGGTCCAAGAACGCCTGTGGCGCATTTTCCAGGCCCTCGGTCTCGCATAGGCGGTAGGTTAGTCTGCCCTCGCGGTAGAGCCGCGACACCTCCTCGTAAAAGGCCGTGTGAGTAGGTGTATCATAGTACTCGTCAATAATGAATCCATGAATGGTTGCCTTCTTTATAAGCACGCTCGTTAGGCACTTGACGCCATAGCGCTCGTCCGGCGATGAGAGATTGTACTGAGTGATAGCGCCACATATGATAATACGCGCATGAGTATTGATATTAGCAAGCGCAGCATCAAGGAACTCGCCACCAACATTATCGAACCAGATGTCAATACCCTCGGGAGCAGCCGCCTTGATGGCCTCCATGTAGTTGCCGCAGGTCTTGTAGTTGAACGCGACGTCAGCGCCAATACTCTTAGCGTACTCTACTTTCTCTTCAGATCCCGCCACCCCTACCACGCGCAGTCCGCGCGCCTTGGCCAGCTGCACGACCATCTGCCCGACCCCACCTGATGCAGACGAGACCAGGATGGTTTCGCCCGCCTTGGGCTTGGCCAGAACCACCGCACCCACGTAGGCGCTATACGCAGCCATTCCAAGAACGCCCACGTGGTCCCTCGGTTCCGCACTGTACTGGACGGGTGCCTTTGAGATAGCGCGTGCATCGGTAGTGTACTCGGTCTCCCACTTGCCATCGTTGTCAATGACTAGATCGCCCTCTCGATAGTCTGCGCTAGTCGAGGCAACGACAGTAGCTACCAGGATGTTGGTAATGGTGCTCCCCTCGGAGTAGCTCTCAATAAAGCTGCCCTTGACGCCGGCGATGCGTCCGCGCTGATAGGGATCTATCGAATAGTAGATCGGACGCAACAGCACTTGGTTGTCAGAGAGCTGGTCCTTGCTTGGCGGGGCTACTTGCTCGATTTTGAAATCAGCGAGCTTGACAAACCCTCCGCGCACATGGCTTGGGAGCGAGATGCGAGTAATGGCAGATGACGACATTGTTGAAAAACATAAAGGTATTAGTGTGGAGCAAAAAGCAAGGGAGAAACAGCAAAGCTTGTTCATGGCTTTTATGGTCGTCCGAGGTGGTTTCGCTCCCACAGGCGGAATTATCTTTTGTACGAGAGCATGGATCGTCCAAGGCCACTTTGTGGTTTGCCGCTGCTGCAAATCTCAACAAGTTTATTCGCAAAAATCGTATTTGCTTCAATAAAAGGTAAGTGGTAAATCTCAAGCCTTAATAACGCTCTTGCCAAAGTTTTTGCCCTCAAACAAGTTCAGAATAGCCTGCGCGCCATTCTCCAAGCCCACAGTCTCTGTCACCCGGTACTTGATCTTGCCCTCATGGTACAGCTTAGAGACCTGCTCGACGAATTCGTCTTGAATCTTTGTACCAAAATACCGACCAATAGTAAACCCTTGCATCCTGGCGCTTTTGACCAATATATTCAAAGTATTCTTCACGCCATAGCGCTCCTCCACCGACGATAGGTTGTACTGAGTAATAGCGCCACAAACAACAATCCGAGCAAACACGTTAATATTAGCCAGCGCCGCATCAAGCAGCTCCCCACCGACACCATCAAAGTAAATGTCGATGCCCTCCGGTGCCGCCCTCTTAACAGCTTCCTCAAGATCGCCACACGTCTTATAGTTGAATGCAGTGTCAGCGCCAATACTCTTCAAGTACTCGATTTTGTCGTCGGATCCTGCCACACCAACCACACGCAAGCCACGTGCCTTAGCCAGCTGCACGACCATCTGGCCCACAGCGCCAGACGCCGACGAAACGAGAATGGTCTCCCCCGCCTTTGGCTCCGCCACAGCCGTCACACCAACATACGCAGTGAACGACGGCATACTGAGAACACCCACATAGTCCCTGGGATCGATCCCCGGATACACCGGCGCCTTTTTAATCGCGCCAGCCCCAGTTATATACTCTGTCTCCCACTTGCCGTTGCTATCGAGCACAAGGTCCCCCTCCCGGAACTCCCCGGTGGTAGACGCAACAACCGTGGCAACCAAAAAGTTGCTGATAGGCTGGCCCCTCTCGTACATTGGAATGTAGCTCTCCTTGGCACCAGAAAGACGGTTGCGCTGGTAGGGATCGACAGAGAAATAGAGCGGGCGCAGGATAACCTCGTTCTCCTTCAGTTGCTCACTGGTGGGAACGGGCGCTTGGACAATCTGAAAGTCCGAGATCTTGGCGTTGCCGCTTGGCACGTAGTTGTTGAGCAAGACGCGAGTAATAGTAGACGATGACATTGCAGATAAGGGTTACTTTTTTGGCGACAAGTTGTTGGCGTTGCAAGGAGAAGGGAGGTAAGAGATCCTGGGCGCCCTTAAATAGCATTCAAAAAGGTGTTGGCGTCACTGCCCCTCAGGAGCCCTAGGCCACCACCAATATAAGCCATTTTTTGTAATTGTCCTACGATTACTAATGCGGCAGAGCCACTGTTCAGACTCGCTGAGAAATCAAGCTGACACAAAAGCTCTGAATAGATCACACGCTACGGCTTGCCCTCGGTGCCGCCAGCGTCCTTCATGAACGCCAGGCGGTCACGGTAGTGCAGCTTGAGCGCGTAGCGAAGAGGCAGCATATGCTGGGGCCCGGTCCACTCGGGGCACCGAGGCGCAGGCCCATCGCTGTCGATGACGTCGGACAAGGGCCGCAAGGGCTGCGATGGTGCTACAGCAGCGGCAATGTCAACCGTGCTCAAGTCCAGCGTAATAGTGATAAGCTGCTTACTGATCTGCGGAAAGTCCCGCCGAATAATCTCCACCACCTCGTCAAGCTTGACAAAGTACAGCCCCAGCCCAACAAACTTCTTCTTCTCATGCAGCGTAAACTGGCTGACCAGCTCGCTGTCCGCCTTTGCACTAGTCGCCGTCGCCGACGACCGAGAGGATCCAGTAGCCGACCGCGGCTTCCGTTCCGACGACTTGCGCGGCGGCATAGCGGGTGGCGTGGCAGCAGCCTCAGAGTCTGCATTGCTAGGTGTCGCCGTCGTAGATTCATGAATAAACTGCATGTTGGACACAAACATGCCGGCCAGCGGCTCCCACAGCCTCTCCTTCTGCGCATCCGAGATCCTGCGGCGGCACAGATGCGGGTACGCCGCAAACAAGGGATTGGCATCCGACCTACTGCTGCTACTCGTCGAACTAGTCGTATCCACTGGCATGCCAAGAAGCAGGCGCACTTGCAAGTCGACCACAAAGTAGCTCGGCTTTGGTGCCTGCGAGTCGTCGTGCAGCTGAATCGTATACAGGGGCAGGTACCTGATAGCTTGCGCCGCTATCGATGACGGAGTCATAGCCTCTGCTCTCTGTGGCACGGCACCCTCGACTATCGTCCGGCCTCCCTCCGCCGCTCGCTGGTGCTTCGGTGGCTTGTCCTTGTGGATAGCAGTAGAGCCAGGCAAGCCGTGGCGCGACGCGTGCTTCGATACTGCAGCAGGCGATGCAATAAACTTTG